AAAGATGTGTTTTGTGTTTATTGCCGGGCAAAAGGTCATGTCCGAGCAGACTGTTACAAGTTAAAAAAGAAAGAGCAATCACCACCTGTGGTAACTGCCAAAACAGCATCAGTGGTATCTGCAGTGGAAGAAGACGTTCAGGAAATGGAGATTGCGACAGTGAATGAAGATTCCGGTAGGAAGTTAGAAATTCCTGACGCGCGTATTATTGTAACTTCGGTGAATGAAATTCCATGTAAGTTGAATGCGTTGTTAGATACCGGAAGTCCCGTTTCGTTTATTAAGTCTTCGATTTTTGCAAAGTTTATAAAAGTCGATTTAGAAAAGAATGAGAAAATAAAACGATATAAAGCAGTGAATAATACTTTTGTTAATATATTAGGATCTGCTCAAACAATGATTTCTTTGGATTTATTACCAAATTTAAAAGCATCAATTTCTTTATTAGTGTTGGATAATGACTCATTTTCTTTTGATTTAATTATTGGTTTAGATTTCTTTAAAGAGAATAATATTTCAATTTTATGTAAACCATCGGATATTGATTTAGATAATCGAATTCAATTATTCCAAGAAGTAGCTACTACAGAAGAAATTAAAGATAAATCTGAAAATATACTGTCATTATTGCAAGATGTCGATACTAATTGTAATGAATCAAATAAACAGGAGTTAGAGTTTGAGGATAATGATAATGATGTTGCGTATGTAGAACCAATGCCTCTTGAAAGAGAGCTAGAATATAAGCAGTTGCGTGATATTAAGTTAAAGAATATTGCGGAAAAATTAGAAGTTGAGAATAACGAAAAATTTACATTAATAGATGGACTTGTCTTTCATAAAGGAAAGGATAAACCTAGATTTGTAATTCCAGAAGTTATGATAAATAACATTATTCGGGTATATCATGATGATAAGGCGCATTGTGACGTTAACAAAACCTTCCAAGGTATATATGAGAATTATTGGTGTCCTTCTTTACGAATGAAAGTGATAGATTATATAGATAACTGTTTGACTTGTATGAAGACAAATGCATCTATTAATACTCGCGAAGGCGAATTACAAGTGGTAGATAACCCTAAATCCCCATGTCAAATTTGGCATACGAACCTTTTTGGCCCAATATCAGAGTCAATTGAAGGATACAAGCATATTTTGGTAATAGTAGATGCGTTTACGCGATTTACTTGGTTGTTTCCTGTCAAATCTACCAGTACAAAAGAAGTTATCAAACATATGGAACTATTGTTTAACACATTTGGAAATCCAAATATTTTAGTATCGGATAAAGATATAGCATTTGCTTCGAATAAATTTTCAGAAGTTATGCAAATTCATAATGTTAAACATCGTCAAGTTGCTGTGGATGCTACATGGGCAAACAGCATAGTAGAGAGAGTTAATAGATTTTTAAAAGCATCTCTTGAAAGAATTGTTGAGGAACAACAATCATGGAGTTCCGCGATTGAATCTATCCAGTTTGTGATAAACAATACAGTTCATTCTTCAGTGAAGGCTTCTCCTTCAAAATTACTTTTTGGTTATGAGCAACGTAGTCACTCGGATAATGAGTTGGTTAAAAATTTAACTCAATTAGCAGAAATTGAATTAAAAGTATCGGATGAACAAGATATCGCTAATGAATTAGCTGTAGAAATGACTGATAAAATAAAGGATTATAATAAAGCCAATCATGATAAACAATATAAGAAACTAACTCAGTATAAAGAGGGAGATTACGTTATGATAAGAGATACTGCGGTAAAATCCGGAGAAGATAAGAAATTAAAGCCATGTTATAAGGGTCCGTATATGGTTACAAAGGCCTTAAATAATAGTAGATATGTGATTCAAGATATTCCAGGTTTTAATGTGACCTCCAGGCCTTATAACTCTATACTTTCCCCAGATAAAATAAAATATTGGATAAAACAACCAGAGTCATAAAAAATTTTGGAATAAAAATAATAAAAAGTGTTGTTTTATGCGATAATCATAAGTTTAAAATAGTTTAAGTTTTGCGTGCATTAAGTTTAAGATTACTATGTTTAAAAATGAAAGTTTGAATAATTAATAATAATAATACTATGATTTATGTTAAAAAAATAAGTAAGGGTTTATGCGAATAATTTAAGTTGTATTGAAATTATATTACTAGGGTATATTTTATTTTGTT